GACATGGGGGCCAAGAGTCAACATTTTCACTTCCTTCATGCAACCTTGAGAAAGTTACACCCACTCTCTGATCCTTGAATTTCTCATGAACCAGGCAAAGACCTTGACCCTCTGCCCCAGAGTTGCACACATGCTGAATGGCTTCCTGAAGCGCTTGGTCTATAAGGGCCACGTGCTCAGCCCTGGCCTTCCTCCTGCATTCAGTTCCTCCTTGCTTAGCACACCCTCGCCACACCAGCCTCTCTCTTCATTCCGCCCACAGTTCCTCCCCAGCTTACAGCCTTCCCATTTGCTGTTCCTGCTGCCTGGGAAGCCCTGGGCTTCCCAGGGCCCACATCTTCACAGCCTGGCACCATCTTGTCACTCAGACTTCAGATCACGTGTCTGTTCCCCTAAAGACCTTTCTGGACATCCTTGCCAAAGCAGCGCCATCCATCTAATCACGCGGTTACTGTCTTCATAGCACATCGCCAGCTCACCACACTGCCCGGTGTGCCCATGACAGTCCTAGCTTGTGGCTACTGTTTTGATGTAATTAATAAGTTCATTCTCAGAAGTGTCACTGTCTGACTACTAAATTGTATGGTAACTGTCCTAATTACCATTGATTTTTTTCACGTTTATTTACTTTTCATCTGTCTGGACTCTAGAGTGTAGGGTCCAAGGAACGAGGAGCCTTGCGTGATGGGTTTAACTAAGCAAAACCTCGGGAACCCTTAAAAGTGCCTGGCACGTTTATAAACATTGACTGAATGAACCACTGTGAATTCGAATTCTACAATGCCAGAGATCCGGAAGGTAAGGGGTTGGCTCTTTAAAGATGGACGGATGGTTTCTCATTGAGCTGGCGTGGTTTGGATGGAGCCTCTCCGTGGTACGTCCTTTCCTATTGCTGTTTGTTGAAGCACTCCAGGAAAGAGGAGACATACCCAGGATAATAAGTGTCCTTTGAGTCTGTCCTAAATCGAGGCAAGAAGGTATTAAATGGAGCAAAATTTTGTTTGTGTTTTTGCTCCCGAG